TAAATGGCAATGATCAGTTCTTGTTTTAATGAAAATATGATAAATTTTTTAATTAAATTTTGACTAAATTATATAATTAAATTATTTGTGGTAGATTAAAAATAAAATTATATTTCAAAATTATAATATAGATCAAATACTCGAGATGCACGCTAAGTACTTTTTTTATAAGTAAAACAATCATTGGATGCATTGCATTAATATTCACTACCATCAAATTTGGGGAGTACATGTGATGGCAATCATATTAAAACACCATCAATAATTTTTTTTTTTTATAAATAACAAATTATGTCAAATAATAAATTATTGAATTTGTCATGATTAAAAAAATTAATTAATATAAATTTAAATTCATAGTATAGTTTTTAAATTTAAAATATTTATTGAAAAATAGTATTTAAAGTTTTTTTTTTTTTTTTATAAAAAACCTAATAGTCATAATTAATATTATATTTTTTAAATATACTGCAATCAAATTTTCTAATAAAATAATTGTAACTTTAACGTCGTTACAAGCTGTGTTGGGCCGCTGCGGGGCTACGAAGATTCTCCATTGGCCCCACTGTAAAAAGAGAGAAGATTCTCGCCATCCGCATTAAGCTCGCAAAAGGAGAGGCACGTGGTCCACGACTCATTTTAAACTCTGTGTGGGGCGCGCGTGATCCTGCGATGTCCTGAATGCCACGTGTCATTTGAGATTTTTTAATTGGAGCTGAGTCGGTGAAGCCCGTGATACTGGTGGATTCATGTAGCATTGCTGATTTTTTTTTTTTTTTTTTTTTTTTTTTAAATTTTGAACAAGCTTTTTACTATTGCATAATGATTGAGAAATTCCCCATATTATGAATTTCTGAAAAATTACACTGCAATATAATTATATTAATTGCATTATTGTAATAATTCCGAGAATTTCTGAATTATTTCCTGGTTTACAATTTAATTAATAAAACTTGTTAGAATTTATTTATTAATATTATAAAATTGGTTTATTTTACAATTTTTTTACAAAATATTAAGCTCTCAGGTTGGAAATAATACTATTAGAATTTTAAACTCATCCAAAATGTGAAGGACAAAATTCAAGCTACAAAAGTAGTAGAGCAAGGAAGTTTGAGTACCTTCATTTGCAGGTCAAATTATCATACATAATAATGATAGAGAAAACCCACCATTTTAACGGTTCTACTAATATTTTATTTTCAATAAAATTTAAAAATTAAAATAGTTAAATGATAACCTGAAAAAACGTAATAACAATAATAATAAAACAGACATGGCAATTCTTAAATATGAAGAAGTCACGAGATAGTTATTTTTACAAATTTTTTACTTTTAATCCTAATTGTTTTTTATTATTTTTATGTCACTAACTCCACTATGGATTTGTAAGGTCATGCAGGTCTCGACCAAGCCCAATTTTTTGGGCCAAGCTGGGGCCCTTTAATTGTGTGCAAAGAAATTTGACCCACTATGTATCATAATGTAATAAACTGTCTGTATTTTTAATTGCGGAAATGTCCATTAAAATATAAAATATATATTAAATATTGTTAATCATATTTTAAAATATATTTGTTATTCAAGTCCTCGTCAGTGGTGTTTCTATGATAGTCGTGGAACGCGGACCCCAACAAGGGTTGCTTTCATTGGTCAGGTACGGTCCGTAGTGGGACCAACTGTTTGGCGTCGGGGGACAGCTGGGCACGTGGCGTGTACCAATACGTGACCTTTATCTATAGTCAGGTAAGGTGATTATCATAATGTTATTGGCTTAGTTTTTTATTTATGATAATTAAAATTGAAAATAACCAGACAAGAATGTATATACAGGAGATATGTATATACAGGAGATATGCAGGGGCAGAGTGGTCATTTAAAACATTATTCGTTAAAGTTTCACCATCGACGCACCGGTTTTAAGTTCCAACTCGTCCCCAACAACCACCGAAGGGACGCCGGTCGGCCGACCTCCGTCTCCTCCCGATTCTCTCCTCGACCTTTTCTGAGTATTCCGGCGGGATTCCCTCCCTATATCACCTTCCATTTCCTCTCTCTCTCTCTGTGGTCTGTTGACTTTTGACTGGTCGTCTGCTTCCCGGCCGCATCGGAAACATGGATGGGTCCCCATTCTACTTGCTCCCGCAGGACACTCTTCATCAGATCTTTTCATCTCTCCCCCTCCGTCAGATCATGGTCTGTCGATTGGTCTGCAAGTTCTTCAACCAGCTGTTGACTTCCTCGTGCTTCGTCGATATCATCTCCGCCAAATCGCCTCTCAACCTCCTCGCTCTCCGACCTCCTCACCACCACCATCACCACCACCACCACCACCACCATCACAATCAAAGTCGTCTCTCCCTCCACGCATATGATCCCGACACGAACCAATGGCTCAGATTCAATCTAGATTTTCTCCCCTTCAGGTCGCTCCACCCGGTCGCGTCCTCCAGGGGACTCGTCTACCTCTGGGGCGAATCATCTTCCTCGTCCGATTCGAGTAAGTCGCTCGTTGTCTCTAACCCTTTAACTCGTCAATTCAAGGTGCTGCCGCAGCTCGGTTCGGCCTGGTCGCGACACGGCTCCGTTCTGGTTGACTCTGTGAACCGCGTCATGGTGCTTACCGAACTCGCTGCTCTATACTTCTCCGGTACAATCGCGAACCAGTGGCTCAAGTTTTCCTCAAATTTGCCATCGAAACCTAGAAGCCCGATATTGATATCGAACTCTGTGTTTGCTTTGTGCGATATTGGGTCCCCGTGGAGGAGTCAGTGGAAGCTGTTTTTATGCAAGCTAACGAACCTGACGAACTCACACAATAACTGGATTTGCTTAGAGAGACATGAATGGGGAGACATATTTGACATTCTAAAACGACCTCGCTTGGTGCGGGGAAACGGAGACAGTAAGATATTGATGATTGGGGGCCTTAAGTCAACCTTCTCTTTGAACCCTTCGTGTTCGACCATACTGATACTGAGGCTGGATTTGGAGAGCTTGGAGTGGGAGGAGGCAGGAAGAATGCCCGTGGAGATGTACAGGTGTTTTCAGGAATCTAGCAAGTTCAAGGTGTTCGGGGGAGGGGATAGGGTGTGTTTTTCGGCTAAGAGGATGGGGAAGCTAGCATTGTGGGATCGTCTAAAGGGCTGGAGATGGATTGATGGGATGCCAGGAAATGGGGATGGCCTTTCTCGTGGTTTCGTGTTTGAGGCCCGGCTCGCGACGGTGGCTTGATTGGTTGGTATGTTCTCGGAAACGATCTTGATCTTCTTATTGCTGCTGCCGCTGCTGTTGTTGTTGTGATAATATTGGATATAACTTGTCTCCTCCATTGGTGAATCTGTATCATTGCTTAACACACACTGGTTATTGTATTTGAGTTAGAATTGTTAATGAAATGCTTACTATTGCATATTGTTTCGAGTGAGAATCGTGCGTTTTTTCTAATTTCAGCACATCAATGAAGAAGGAACTCGACACGTATTGGATATTCCAATTTGGAATTTCATAAAAAGTTATTTAATGACCAAAATCATCACTTTTTGAGGGTATTCCAATTTGCATTTGATGGTGAGAGTCCATTAGCCGAAAGCACTACTAGCTTATGCTCTGAACTGAGTACGATGCGGCACTTGGAATCCCCTGTGAATCAGCAAATACCAAGTTGTGGAAGCTAGTATTCTTGGGTGATTGATCACAAAGTAGTGAGGGAAGAGTGAAAAGAATCCTCTTCGGGTTTGGGGAGTGATGTAGGACATTCAAGTGTCATCTAGACGAATCATAGGCTTAATTTATAGCGCAGCTTATTACTCCCTGATGTTGCTCTTTGACATGAGGGCCTGAAAATGAAACATGCTATGCAACCTTCTTCTTAGACATGGCTGCAACTGTTGCTTAGATGTCAAAAGGGACTAGAAATTTGGCACCATGCAATGTCCATCTAAGTTTAGCTTGCTGAACATAGAAATATGGTACTCAGATGCTAGCCTTAGGATTAAATGAGAAGTTTGGGTTTTTTTATAGTTCAGTCTGTGAAGTTTATACAAGGTGTGGGTGTCAAGTCTTTCAAGGTTTTGAGCATTAGGAATTTTTCTTTTTTGAAATAAAGCATTAGGAAATTTGAGACAACTAAAATTCTTCTTTTGTTTCTATACAAACTTCATTTGTTTAAATGCTGAAGTTTGGGAGGATTTGGGAGCATCCCATAACAAGTTTCACAATTTAAATGATTTAGGTAAATGCTTTAGCTATGCTAGATTTGACTGTTGAACTCAGGTATGTAATGGGTGATTTGCCTCATTGCCGGTACATTTTGTACCACCAAATCTGCATCATATGAATATGCTGTTTCATAAACATGTTATGTCGTTGAAGGCTGGAGCCTCGGGAAGGAAATGGATTAGGCTATGTTTGGAAAAATCCAAAATTTTTGGAATTCTTTTATAAATACACGTTTAGTTCAACTAGAAAGTAATAAAAATACTCTCCAAAAATGGGAAGGAAATGGATTAGGCTATGTTTGGAAAAATCCAAAATTTTTGGAATTCTTTTATAAATACACGTTTTAGTTCAACTAGAAAGTAATAAAAATACTCTCCAAAAATGATAAAAAGTTTCTCAGGTGGAATTCTGTATAGAAGTGGATTAATACGATTTCATTTCCATTAGTTTATCAACTTCAAAATTATATTAGAATTTAGGTCCTCTGTTAGTTATATGAAGTGTAGATTTACAAATCAACTTCACAAGATCTGTGTATTTATTCAGAACATAACATTAATAGCATTCATATGCATATGGCTAGTGGATGCAGAACATAACCATTCATTTCTCTTCTTCTAGTCTTTTTCCTTTTATCACTTCCAGGTTAAAATTTCATGTTTAGGATGTGGTTTTGCCCATGGTCCACTTGATTCAATCCCTGTACATAATTTGCTAACATATTCTCGATATATAAAATTGAATAATAATTTTTATGATTGAATTCATTCTATTCCTATTTGAAAATCTTTGGATGTAGGCCTACAATTCATATTTGACCAGGTAGAAAATTGGAAATCTATGAATTCAACCAAAGAATGAAATTGATTCTTCGTATGCTAATGCATGTATTTAATTTATTTGGGGTAATTGGAACGTGATCCGCTTGTTTGGGAATACGAGTCGAAATAATAATAAGAATCTTTTTAGTAGAATATCTTTTGCAATCGTTAGAAAAAGTTCACCAATAGAACGAGTGATAAGTAATTTAACTCATTCACATTCAAATCATGAATGTTTGAAATCCATATTATGCAAAGAGACATTGTTTTTGCTAATTCGATTTGAACATTTAGAATAGAATTTTACATGTGAAGGATATCCTAGTAATCGAGTAAAAGAATGTGATAGGAATTTAACTAAACAGAATTATGTTGTTTGAAAGTGTTTTATAAAACTAGTTGTTCAAACCATGTAGGTCACAAGAACACTATGTTTTCCTCTTTAATTCGGTTGAGTGGAGGTACTCTGTTAAACTTCACTTTTCATTTGGCTGGATTTAACATTTCAAGTGTGCACGAGATTGATGAATAAGACCTAAGATGCGGGGAGAAGGCTGTCTGGAATTGGAATACATGGCTATGCACTGTCGTCTTGTTCATCCATCTTTCTACGCCAACTTGGTGGGTTACGGTCCGATGAAATTCTGCTTTCAGATTTTGACTCTCCCTTGTCATTCTTCATTGTGCTTCTTCGAATTGTTGAATTAGTTGACTGAATTAGATAAAGGTATAATTCATCCTCTTCATTCACGATTGCAATCTAACGAGCAAGGTGGTCAGTGCACGTCTTAACTTCTTTGAAGTTATGAGAAAAGTGGACTACCCTTAGTGGTCCAAAGCCGATTCGATTGTGGGCTGGTATTTTAAGTTGTGGTAAATATAAACGAATCTAATATGATTATGTAATTGTAATATCTAGAAATGAAAAGGAATGCTCGGTCTATTTTTCTTCCATTTTGGACCTTCGGCCCAGAAATTGCAGATCAGAGAAATGGAATTTAAAATATGAAAAATGAAGAAAGGAGGCACATGCATCATGGTGATGATGGGAATCGTGGATAGATATTATACTTGTGTATATATTATATATATATATATATATATGTCATTTAGTTGACTTGGACCATATAAGAAAGCGAAGATCTTTACGTCTCGTGCTGACAAGAATCATGGATCAAACTTTGTGTTTACAGTGTATTGCAGATTTTTGTATGCTTCCTATTTTCAACTTCTCATGAACGTAAAGATATGGGCTATCTATCTATTATGAAATTAAAAACCAAAAATAAATTTCCATTCCATCCCATGATCCATCTCCTTTATATATATATATATATATATATACACACGCACACGCATATATATTGTAGAAAATCTGGACCTAATAAAAACACGTGAAGAAATTCTTTTTTCTTCCTTTTTTTCCTATTATCTTTTTGGTGATATAATTTCTTGTATAATCTCTTTTGGATTATTTAATTTTTATTTATTTATATATTTTCGAATAAAAATTTATACATTTTAATAGAATGTGTTGGATAATTCTTATCCATATGTATACATATAAGTATAACCATGAGAGTGATAAAAAGTAGATTCCTGATACCGAAAGGTGGATACATACACCGTCTAAATGCCGTCAAGTAATTTGGACGTGCGAGTTAAACTCTTATTGTGAGGAAATATTACGTCATCGTGGTTGCCGGAAAAATTACACATTTATTTATTTTATTTATAATAAATAAACAAATAACGAATTCAAGAGCAGTTTTTTCGTTCCAAGGATTTGGGCAGATTCAAAAACCAACTTTAATTGAAAATTCCCGATGTCATTATATTACATTTATATATATATATATATATGTTTTTCCAGTTATTTTTTAAAAATAATTCGAACGTAGTTTGATATATTTTTAATATTTATGAGGATCGTTTATATAGTTTAAATAACATTATCCTGTATAGAATAATAAACCTTGAATTTACATAAAATTCCAACAATAAATTCAAAATTTTTATTAAATTTAATGAAATTTGAAATTTTATATGAAGTTTCATATAACTTGATGAAATACAATTTATATATTTGCTAGGTAAATTAAATATTTCTCCCACTATTTTCAGTTATGAAATTAACATTTTAAATTCTACATATGTATAAATTATATATAACGTGTAGTAAAAACACGTGGAATCTTTTTGAACACATCTATCTCGGGAAGAGACCGGCTGCTAACGTTTTCAGTGCATCCTATTATTGTGTGGGTCACGAGGGATTGATTGGACAATATCAATTATCAATAATCCAAATATATAAATTAATTAAAGACTCAAGCCTTTTTTGTTTTAAATATTTTATAATTCAATAGATATGTTATATAATTAAATAAATAATTAATCCCAACTCCTCCACATGCATAAATTAACGTTATTACTTCATTTATAGTGTGTTGATTAATGATTATCATTGCATTAAATGTTTGATTATTCAATATACTTAATATTATAATATTTAAATATGTTACTAAAACACATACATTATGATTTAATGACTAACGTTTTTGTCATTTATTTGAAAGTCATAACTTGCAACCCAATTGAATATGTATACTATTCAGAGACATATTATCTGTAAATTTTTATATTTTATGGTTTAATGATTTGGCCGGCGAGCTAATTAATTATTATTAATAATTGAAAATATGTGGGGGACCCTTACGAACATCCAACTAACCAATTATATTATTTATATATCATATGTATACACATCATCTGATAATTAGCTCTCTCTCTCTCTCGAGTTGCTTAGGAAGAACACAAGATTAATTATGTTATAAGAATTGCATTATTCTGTTCATCACCTTCAAAGTAATTAGTATATATCATTATTAATTTCTGTCTGTTGTTTCATTGTCCCTATCAACAAATATGTTTCTCATTCTCATCAGAACACCACATAGCAATCGCATAGACCAATTGATTAAACCAATGACATTCATATACATACATATAGGACACACACACACACATATATATATATTACATGTGCACCCAATTAATTAGCAAGTTTCATTTGGGTACCAGTACTACTGTTTACTAAAACTTGTATAAATACAAATATAAATATAATGTTACTTCTGAATCAAAATGAAATAGACTAACAGAAAAAGATAGTAATTAATTAGGATCTTATTTGCACTTTTTATCTTTAATATTACTTCTAATTTTCTTTCTTTTTTTTTTTTTTTTTAAAAAAAAAAAAGACAAATTGATAATATCATTTGAATTATCTTTAGTTCTTGGATGATGAGGACACTATATCTGGGCTGAAGCTCGTTGCTACAATGGGACTCCGGACCACATGTTTGCCTTCATCATCTTCCCAACTCAGATACCCAAAAGCTACAGTTTCTTCCATCACCTTCGGTCCTTCCATGACCATCTTGTACCTCTGCGTCTCATACTTCTTTCTGAAAACCAGTTTATCCGGCACAACACTCACCTTAAACCCTTTAATCTCCGTCACTTTCGCCACATAAGTTGCAGAACCCTCTCCCACATTCGTCACTCTTCTTTCAAATTCCTTAACACTCGTCGTCGGATTTGAGTTGAAATAGCCGATGAATGAAGGGTAATTGAGGTCCAAAGATGGCGAAGAGCAATTCGTTGAAGACGTCTTCGTGATGACTTGAATGTTCTTCTCAGTGAAGTTTAATGCGCAGAGTAGATTAACGTAATCTTCAGCTGAAGCGTTATAAATGAGTCCTGGATCTAGTGCTCTGTTTGGATTGATATGGCCGGAACCCATGGCGAGAGGATTTGCCCGCGGTTGGTTGGTAAGGCCCATGTCTGTGATTGGACTGCCGGTGTTATCTGTTATATCGGATGTCGTCATGATGGCCGATCGGATTGCGGCGGGGCTCCATTCGGGATGTGCCGCCTTCAAAAGCGCGGCAACTCCTGATGCATGAGGACACGCCATGGATGTCCCTGAAATTACATTGAAGTTACTGAACAGGGACTGGTCGTTACCGATGGTGGCGACGGAGATGTTTTCAGGCCATGAAGCTAGGATTAACGATCCTGGAGCCATAATATCAGGCTTCATCACAAATGGACAGCTCTCTGACGGCCCTCTAGAGGTATAGCTAGTTGTTTTCGGCGCAGGCTTTATGCTCAGATTTGTTTCTTTAAACTTCATTCTTGCTTTTGGATTTATCCCGCGCTTGATGTAATCTTTGATTAATTCTCCATTTTCAACACTCATGAAAATTGCAGGAAACAAGCTCTCAATGAAGAATTCTATGTCGGTGTTGTTCGTTATGAAGATTCCTCCGGCAACTTTAGCAGCCAAGATGTTCTGTATTTGGTCGCCGAGTGAGTCATTCTTATCTTGACACACTACAATCTTTTCCCCGAGTCGACTCAGTTCATTCACACTAGCGCAGGCGTCCATGAAAACAACTGGTATCTCATCTGGGTTGACTTTTCCTAGGTAGAGAGACAAGCCGTTGACCGACTGACCATCTCCGAGAACTAAACTAGCGGCGAATTCACGATCAATGGTCCCGGCGGCAACAGTTAGCACCCATGGTGTGCCATTATGAAGAGTACCGAAGAAAGGGCCTTCGTTTCCCGCTGAGGTAGAGACAAAAATCCCTTTTTCCACTGCTGCAAATGCCGCTACAGCAATTGGGTCCTCGTATAATGGCACGCCGTCAAGACCCAATGAGAGAGACAAAACATCAACACCGTCGGCAATGGCTTGATCTATAGCGGCGATTATGTCCGACGTATGGGCGCCTTCGTCCCACAAGGCCTTGTAAATAGCGACATGTGCCTTGGGGGCCACTCCGCTCGCAACCCCCGGTGCGTACCCGAAGAAAGACGCATTTCCGACGAAATTCCCAGCCGCTGTGCTCGACGTATGGGTGCCGTGCCCGCCGGTGTCCCTCGTTGAATTCATTGAAATCGTGAGGTTGGAATTATGAGCAACCAAACCTTTGTTAAAAAACCGAGCACCAATAAGCTTCTTGTTACATAATGAAGCGTCAAACTGAGTTCCAACCTCACATTTCCCTTTCCATCTCGATGGGATTTCACCCATTCCATCGTCACTAAAGCTCTCACTTTCAGGCCACACCCCGGAATCCACCACTCCGACAATCACATTCTCGCCAAAATTAGTCAGTGCCCATGCGCCCGAATTCGAACTCAACCCAAGAAATTTTGTGGAATGAGTTGTATCGACTTTTACAGACACATCTTTGATAGCAGAAACAAAGCCTGGAGAACTTTTTAAAGCTGAAAGCTCGGTCTCAGACAGACTCGCACTGAAACCATTGATCACATGGTTATAAGTATAAATAAGTTTGGTGGGAAGTTGTGATTTATCTGACAAAGAAGAAGCAAGAGTGGACAGGTACCAAGTGTGTTGGGTTTTCAAAGGTTTGGGCATGGCGGTCAAGTCCATATGGACAATATAAATGTCATTCTGGGCCAATGTGGAGAGACAAAAGAGGAAAAAACAGAGAGGAATGATAAGGTGGTTAGCCATTGAAGTAGAGAAATGAGAAGGATAGAGGAAACTTTTTGGATGGGTATAAGAATTAGAGAAGTTTATATAGAGGGAAGAAAAGCAGAGTATGGGATAGGGAGAAGAGAAGCCGCAACATATTCATCTCCCGAACTTTTTTAATATTCCCACTTGTGCAATACGTTGTCGTCTTCATCCTTGCCCTTTTTTTCTTTACTCCCTAGAGTTATAGACATATAATTCTTTATAGTAAACATAAAGAAAAATAGCTGGCTGGCTCAAATTCCTTTCTCTATCAACCGCGTCTTGGCTGCCAATTAAATTCCATGTCTATTCACATGGTGAGAGGGAGACCACCAGTCATTTCCAACTCATTTAGTCAAGAGCTAAATTTCTTTTCTAAGTTAAGAACTAAATTTCAAATAATTTTTGAAATAACCTAATTATAGTTATTTTACCGATAAACATAGTTATTATGTTTCTCTTTCTATAAAAGATTGTGGGTTTCGAGTTAATTTCTTAAATATTTATTATATCTATTTTTAAAAAAATATATATTATGTTATAGTAGATAGTGTATCATATAAATTTTTTTTTTCAGTTACTTGAATTATAATAATATATAAATTATCATTTTAAGTAAAAATCTGTAGCATTCTAATTAAAATAAATATGAAGTTTATAAATAAATTCAATAAGAACATTTAAAGTTATTCTAAACATAAGTAAATGTGTTAAGAGTGTGTAATGTAATAGTTTGAGGAGAAAACTTAGTTTCAAAGTAAAGTTTTCAATATTCAAACTCATAATATTAAATTATTTCCATAGTAAATTTTAAATGTGAATAAATTTATTCAAAAATAAGAGAGAATTATTTTTTTTATTTTTTTATTTAAAAAAATAAATATTGAGTTTTAAAAAAATTTCTTTTTTTGTTTTTTGTTTTTTTTTTTGTTTTACCAAAAAGATTAAGATATAATTTTAATTTATTATAATTATTTAAAATTAAGAAAATTTAGTCTATCATAAAATTTTCACTCCGCTAATAGTGGAAACGGTGAGACGACCATGGGCCGATGGGAGGGGTGAGACCGCCATGTGCCGCTGAGGAAAATTTAACACAAATATAATATGCATCTACACGACTTAATTTGAAGATGAAGACAAATAATTCGCAAGAGAAGCCATGTGCTACGTACAAACATCCTCTTGCAACAAACACAAACTTACTTTCCTCAATCTATATATCAATTATTGCAATCATACCAAGTTTTATACAGTGTGCATTACAAAAATATATTAAATTATAGTTTCACTTTCTAATGTTTATTTTTATTGTAATATTATTACTATATTTTTTAAGAAAAGAGACCCAGTTGACAATAATCATTATCTTATTATTTACTGAATAGTTAGTTCAAATATAAAAAGTAAGGAAAGAATTATGGGAAGGATTCAACGTAAGAAAAGGTGAAAGGGGTAGACAGAGACTTTCAGCTCCAATGTAACAAAGAAGGAAGAGCCTTGATTAATTATAATTATAAATTACAATTGTGCGAACACCCAATTAAAGCAAGATACTAAATCGCCTTGCTTTTTCAAAGATTAATAAATGATAGAGACAAAATTAAACATGTAATTATGAAATAATTAGTGCAAAATCGGATAGTCATGCACACTAATAGAAAGAATATGATAAATTATTTCTGTGGACCCAAATTCGACTAAAATAGAATCTTTGATTTAATATTGAAATCCTTATTTGCCAGATTCTGAAGATTAATAGAAACCAATTAAAAGGAATCTGCATCAACATTTATTTACCTCACAATTGATGGAATTCTATGTTCAATGCGTGGGATAGTAAATTCTGAATTTATTAATAGATAAATTATGGTCCTACTCGAAAAATAGAAGAAAATAAATTAAAAAATAAAAATTAATTTATGTGGTAAGAGGAGGCAAATAAGAGAACTGAAAGCATACGTTTTAATATCATATAAAATTCTTTTATAGCATTAATATTTTCAAAACCAATGACTGTATATATATATATATATATACACATACACACACAAATATACAAATATTAAAAAAAAAAATCAAATTCTTAGTCCTTTTTGTTTGTTATCTTTCTGATGAGAAAGCAAAATTTGATGCCCAATTATCCGTAATATGCAATCAGCAACAGCGAGATTTATCCCAAGACCACCGATTATAACCAGTTGCCTTCCCTACAAAATTTTCAGAGATTAAACACCACCAGACCCTCGGTTTTAAGCTATCTGAAGATGACAAATGCCATTTAACTCCCTGGTAAAAAATGGTAGGCAAAACAATTATCTTTAAGATTTCAAATAATGACAAAAAAAAAAAATATGATTGTCAGCCTGTACAGTTTTCGAAGTTAATGACTTACGGTTCTAGAATATAGAATTATAGGTATACACATGTATGTATGTACATATTCTGTTGAATATGAGATATGCTTAGAAGCCTCCTCTTCCAATCATATGCATATATTATAGAGGTATATAGCTTGGGGGAAGTGTATTCTAGGGGTATTATAAGAGAAACATAAACCTTTCACGCATGAAAATAAACGTATGTTTCTTGGTAAGTTTGGTACTGTATTTAATGACAATGAAAACAGACAATAAAAAGACAAACCAAGCAAAGAGAGAACTCTTTGGTGGGTAAAGCTCTGGCCCCCCAGATTTCATCATCCTGAGAAGCTTAATCACTCAAGAAAGATTGAAGAAGAAGAGAAGTTTTTTAAGTTTCTTGGCCGAAAGGTGGATTATACAAGACAAAATTTAGAAAGTGCAATGAAGAGCAACCCAGAAACATGTTGCCAGCCTCCTTCAATCGTTTTCCAAGGGTGGGTCCAAACTTAGGTCGGATCACATTATAGAACTGAAGAAATGTAACAGTAACATGAAGACTATAAAAATAAAATACTCTACGGTACAAGAGTTATTCAGAGAGAAGAAAAGGTACCCCAGAAATATGCAACCAAAAACCCCTCAGTTATTTCCCAGGGCTGGGTCCTCTCAAGATAAAGAAACTTAATAGCATTAAGAATGAGTTCTGGCAGTTATAGTAACCTGTTAACAGTAACAAAAATTATACAGAGAATAGTATTCAGAGAGAAGAAAAGTCATTACTTCTAAATGCTTGAGTAAATAATTTTAGCAACTTATTCAGGATTATACATTTCTTTGTCTCGACGGTCCAATTCTCAAGAATACAACTCACCCCACGTGATACTGAAAGTAGGCACTCGCCACTGACTCAAAGTAGGTGACACAACAATTGGGCTGGTCACAGTGCAATCTTCATTCCTCTCAACCCAAGTAATCGCACAATGTGTGACCTTCCTGCTCTTGTCAGTTATAAATCTAATTATGATACTATTTCACTGTCTCAGGTTTGTTATGGAAACTCCGTTTTTATGTTGAGAGCCAAACAATGGAGCCTTTTTGCTGCCGAAACAAAGCATCATAAGTTGCAGAGTCTTCTTCCATGTTTATCGCAGTCCTGCAAAACATTTCTCATTCACTTATGCTGTCTGGTTAAGATCATATAGTGCAATAAACAATGGGTGATCAACATCAGGAGAAGAGCTTTTATAGCTATCATTATTTGATCTGGTAATAGCAAGAATTTGGTTCCTGGTGAAGTTCATGGAGAGTAGGAAGTTCAAATAATCTTGTGGGATTGAATCATAGACAAGGCCAGGGTCAACGGCACCATTTGGATCAATTTGTCCTGCCTCCACGGCTAAAGATGAAGCAGGTATGGAACTGTCACTATCCAGGATTGTGTTTTGAGTGTCATCCCATGTCTTGGCAGTGGTTACAACGGCAGACCTAAATAGCAGCTGCACTCAATTCTAGATGTGCTCCTTTGACAGGTGCAGCAATGTCAGCAGCATGAGGACAGGCCATGGACAAACCTGAGATGATACTAAATCACTCAAAAGTACTATATTTTGTCTGTTTTGGCCCGCATATCCGTTTGGAATCCAGGAGGCCAAAACAAGTGACCCAGGTGCCATCACATCTGGCTTTAAGATGCTTGCAGGGTTTCATGAAGGGCCTCTTGAAGCGTAATGTAATAGGTTATAGTGGGAGCAGGCTGCGTCCTAAAATGGTCTTTAGGAATCAGATGCTAACCGTAGGTTCAATATCAGCTGTGGCATATTGAGTTATAGCTTGGGCATCCTTGGGACAGATCACGATGCCAGGAGAAATAACAGCTAAATCCAACAGTTTATGATTGAAACAAATATGGCTCCTTACCCCTGAAGAAGAGATAATGTGTATTTTAAGATGTTTCGTGTTCGAGAATAATGATCCATTAGGGGCTTCAGATAATGACTGCATTGAGTTGCAAGCTGAGAATGTCTTGTTGTAGATCAGAGGCAGGTTTTGTATCAAAGCATTTGCAAGAAACGTAATTCATCCAATTATGGTCTTTCCATTCCCTAAAGTTAAAGTTCCAGCAAAAGATTGATCTATAGTACCTGCTGCCACAGTTAACACCCACGGAATCCCATGTGCAAGTTTCCAAGAGATGGCCCAAGATTTCCTGCCGAAGATGGAACCAGGACACCATTTTTAAAAGCAAGAAATACAGCTATTGCCACTATAAGGTTGATAGAACACGAACATTTTATCTGTTTCGTTAGGTGAAAATAATTTTCTGATTGTATTACCTTTACTTCCCAACAAGATTAAGACTAGGAATGACAATCGGACCCTTGGGGGGGGGGGAGGGGAGGAGAGGTGTGAGGGGAAAGGAAGTACTCTCTCCATGCTTGATCCAGCCGACCCAGCCAGCCTCCCTTGCCTGCAGTCCTGGACAAGAATTTATTCTTTATCCCCATCTCCACTGGAAAACTAGGAATCTGTTTTCCCATGGGATCTCTATTTGTCCTTTTTCTTAAGGATTAATCAAATTTAATTACAATCACATTTAGTTCTTTAATGTAAATACAACAAAATTATTCTAAAAATGGAAACAAATAATAAATCTGACATGTCCAATACAAATGGAAGGTAATTACATGTTCCATTTGTTTCATGCATCCATGTAATTGTTAAATGCACAAACATTGCACAACAAAAAATTGAAATCAATTCACCACATTGTTTAAATCTTCAGTAGGTCAAATTCTTAAATAGTAATTTGGTAGTTTTATTTAATAAATATTAAATCATATTAGTATTTTATTATATATAAAAAATAAATATTTAATTATTTATTAATTAACTAATCATTGATAGTGCAGTGTGGGATGATCACCATTTAATTTGGGGTGAACGAGACACTGGACCCAACACCTGCCAGGTTCTTGTTGGATTCGGATGAAATTGCCATCCCCATAAGCAGTAAAGAATTACTGCGATACTGTTTGGGATTTTTAGACATCTAAATCTAGGTGCATATACATTATCAACCAAACAGTGATTAAGGGATGAATGAAGTATAGAGAAGAGTAAAGGGCAATTGGCTTCACGAGCCTAACATTTGACAAACCAAGAAAGCATCCAACTAAAGTTAGGAAAGACGAGCAGAACAAAATAAAATCCAATATAACGTTGATGTCATTGTCTTTAGCTCACACTGGGAGAATTTTTAAAGAAGAAATAGAAAGAATTAAATCCTGTTCTTAATCACAATAGCAAAGCAAGTGTTTACAGTATCCAACAATTTTCTTAAATAAATTTCTTAGTAGCTACTCATATGAAATTCTCAAGTTTGGATTGATGGGGATTAATTGGTCTGCATTTGGATGGCAAGAATGCTTTTTTAAAGTAGAATACTCGAATTGTATTATATTAGAGAAGCATTCCCTGAATCGCCCTAGTTTAATTACGGAGGCTAGCTACGAGAGTCGGAACTAAGAATGTTAACTATGTCCATCATGCTTCTAGCTGCACCAGACATTAACTAGGTTTCCATAGATTAGGGCATTTCTCCTAATAAAAAAAATTGCAAACCTCAACGAAGTTTGATGATAAGACATCGCAGGCCACCGTATATCCAAAATCCTAAGTTCCCTCTTCATGAATAAGATCCTAAATTGACATATCAGGAAGAATACTGCGCAGAGCGAACCAGAAATGAAAGAAGATTAACAGACAAAAGAGCAGAAAGAGATCGAGGACAGTACCTTATAAAGCTGGCGGGTCAACAATGCGCTCCGCCGCCAGCCAGCAGGCAGCAATCAATCATAAGAAGAAGAGGTCGTGTCACTAAGATGTGGTCATTGCCCCTGGCTGGAGCCTCCACCGCCGGGCGGCAATGTTTTCTTTTCTTTCTGTATTTTCGCCAGTATTGGTAAGACGGAAGGAAGGGCTTCTTCGTCATTTTTAGCTTGTGTTTACATTGTGGCAGCTGGGTCAGATTCCATCGTTGATGAGAATGGTGGTGCGTAACAATCTCTTTCTTTTTTGCAGAATTTTACATCATTTTAAAAATAAATATATTTTATTAACTAAATAATAATACAATTTTTTCATGGAATAGGCAATTAAAAATTTTAGAAAAAAAATTATAAACTTTTACACTTATTATGAGGTAATAACACGGTGACAGTAGAATTAGTATAATTTCTTCCCAATTGTTTGCTTTCATTATTGTAATTTGTCACCCCATCAAAGATTCAAAAGGACTTTTTTAACAGGACACACAATCAACATTACAGGAGCTTCTTAGTAACCACAATCAATATTACAAAATAGGATCAAACAAATAAGAGTTAAAACTTTATTTATTATTCCCCATTCACGACTGCTAGAAAGCAAAAGTTAGTCGCTCCTGTCACTATAAAGTGGGTGCTTGGACAGATTATAAGTTGTTGCAAATTTTTAAAGTGAATTAAAATGTTTTTAATCAAAAGCTATTTAATATTTTCTTAAAAATTAACTGTACTTTTGAAATTTTGATCTTAAATTTTATATCTTCTGGTTTTAAATCTATCAAAAACATATTTTAGCTTCTGCATTTTACTTGGTTTGTTTGATAACGCAAAAATTGTAATTAAAAGCTGCAGCAAACCGGTTGAAAATATACTACAAAATATTAGGAAAATGCATTACTGCAAGTCAGAGAAAGCAGTGATTGCATTCCTTTTTGACTTGCTGAAGATAAAAGTTGGTGGGAATGTAATTTAAGAGAGTGATAAGGAGGGAGCAATGGGCAAATTTGGCTGCCTCTACTATGTTTGGATACCCAAGAAGATTCCCAAGGAATGGCAGGACCAACACTCATAAAAGTTGAGGGGCCAGCAAACAGAGAGCTTCAATAAAAATAACAAAAAAAAAAAAAAAAAAAAAAAAGCAGCCAGATTTGGAAATGGTGGACTCGTGATGTGTGTAAAACAGAGACTAGACAAGGAATCAAGAACATCAGAACAGGAAAATCATGAAAGATCACACCACAAATTTCCCAAACAAAAAGAAAAAACTCCAGACATCATTAAAAGATTTCCATACAAGGAATAGAACATAAGCCAAATGAAATTAATGGAGGGGTCCAACAATTACAAGCCCTCCCACTCATCCGTAGAGCTGTCCATGTGGTTCCTGTCACACCCAGAGAGTCCCCACAGCATATCCATACACACCAAATAGAAGCCTTTCAGGAAGAGAAAAATGCAATATAGCGTTAAGGCATGTACCACATATGTAGGACCCTGTCTCATCAAACTTACCCATCAAAATGAAAAAGAGATTTTGTTTTATCTCTTCTGTGATCAATTCTTGATCAAAAGAATTTGTGTTGAAACATTTAAAGCACAATCATGTTGCTTCTAAATGCATTCTGATGCAATTTGGATCAGGTCTTCCCGCGTGCTTTTTCCATTGACTATGTTTATGTAGCTCATCATTGGTAATGGAAAGAAATTTATGTATATGATGATATGTATATATGCATAGAAATTCACATATATTCTTATCAACCAGTCCTAGCAATTCCAAGTACAAACAATTAAAGCCAAGAGAGATTTCAAACATATGATACTGGTAGAACGGCTTCATAATCACACATGCAGCAATTATTATGGCTCAGTTTTGTGAAACATGAAAACAAGGAATTATGAACTTGAGCAGTTTGAGGCTGTTGAAACTTGATAGCATGTAGGCCATCGTATTCGAAGCACTACAGGAAGTGAACGAATTTGGACTGCGCATAATCATTTCGATCATTTAATGAATAAAATAACTTAACTCAGTTAAAAAAATTAATAGAACTTGAGATAGTATCATCTATAATACCTAGGTGAGCCTCTTAAAAAAAGCATTAATCAAGATATAAATTACATAGCCTATGGTAACAGGAAATGACATAATCTACAAATAATGCAGACTCAAAACCATATGAATTACATATACAGGCAGAAATTACTCATCCTAACCTTTGGATGGGAAAATAAGAAGGGACACAAACAAGAAATGTAAATCACCTTATACATGATTTTAGCCAGCTATTATTCCGCAGGTTCCTGCTTTGTCCACAGTGACCGACTGGTCTGTGCACAACTTTCATACCCACTACTGTCACCTGATTCACTTACATGCTTCTCCATCAACCTATTTCTCACCCCATCCTGCAGTGAACGAACGTGCTCTCGTCCAGTCCTACGCTCCTATATTAAGAAAGAATAATGAAATTTCATACAAGAACTACCGAATGTTAGAAACACTTGAAAGGATTCTGAAGGGATTTTGACATTATTTATTTATCTAATGAAAAGCATAACCATTATTTGCACTTACTGGAGTACCTAACTACTCCATGTCACTTAAGAATAGAACAAAGTAAATTGATAAATCTGCATAATACTTTCATCTCGTCAAAACCCACTTGTAGGTAAGCTTTGCCAGATTACATCCCTTAACACACTATCTTACAATAACATACAGGGTTTTATATGCAACTTAAATATCAACATAGGAGATTAAGTGCTGTTTAGCAAACACAAGAGTTCCTATCTTAACTTAACAGTGGTAACACCATGGATGCAGGGGGCTGCAAGTTCATAAGAGAAATGAAGATGAAAAAGGAGAGTGATAAAAAAGCTACTAAGACTAATAGTTTAGGTATGACGCAAGCTTACATCTCGGAAAGGGAAGTCATCAGCTTCAAGCATATGTATCACATGCCCCATCTTGGCGTATTCTGAGCATTTGGGTCCACACAACGCAAAGCTACCAATAAGGCACGCTTTAGTGCCCGGGAAGAAGGCTTCTCCTGCAATCTAGGATCCCAAGACTCCTTCTGCATTTCGATTCGTAACCATTGTTTTCAGCCATTCTACCAGGTTCACCTGTAAAGAGGAGTAAATAATATTGCTCAACGGAAAAAAATAAGATCAACCCAATAAAGCTCTCTTTTAATGACCATACGGAACTTGCTTAAAGTTTATCTTCCTTCATAAATACGAACCTCTCCCTGCGGGCGGCTATAATCTACCGGATTTCTGCCAGAAATTATTTCCATAAGAAGAATACCAAAGCTATATACGTCACTCCTTTCATTTAACATTCCAGTACTTGCATATTCTGGAGCCACATACCTAGTAATAAATCAAAAAGTCATTAATCAAGATCTCTTCCAAAACCATGTATATCAAACAACAAGTATTTAGGATTCAGATAACTTTTTCTATATATACTAATCAAACGTTATTAGTAAGTTACTATCAACTAACCCAAATGTTCCCATCACACGGGTTGTCACATAACTTCTCTCTGAGCCCAAGAGCTTTGCAAGGCCAAAATCGGATACTTTTGCATTCCATTGCTTGTCAAGCAAAATGTTGCTTGATTTGATATCCCGATGAACCACCTTAGGCTCAAGCCCCTCATGCAGGTATGTCAACCTATATTCATTCAGTAAGCCATTAATTATGATAACGACAATGATAATTGAAGGCCTTGCATACTCAATTTTAACCCAAACATGGTACCGTACCCCTTGGCTGTTCCAAGAGCTATATTCATTCGAATCTCCCATGTAAGAGGGCTATACGGGCCAACATCTCCATGAAGCCATTGTTCTAAATTTCCATTATCAACATATTCATAAACAAGCATCCTAGAGCACCAGAATTAAGAGCACGGCATCAGTGAGATCATACAAAACAATGGTACTAACCAGCAAACTGTAAAATTTGAGTAACTAGCAGAGCACTTTAATATCAAAATCGAACTCTAAAGATGCAAAATGCCACAAGCCTGAGGTACCTATGAGCTCCTTCAGCACAATAACCCAGCAGCCTCACCAAGTTCTTGTGCCGAACACGGCCAATTGCTTCAACTTCAACCTTGAACTCCTTCTCAGCCTGACCCCTAAACCAAATTAAGCAAATCCCATAAAACTTCTTTTATGAATCTTTTTAATAGAATCCCCATGCAACACTAGAATCAGTCTAATCTGAGAATTCCCAATTTAATAAATTACAGCCTGAATCTCTGAAATCAATCTCCCTAAAAAAGAAGAAATATAGAAGAAACGAGTATAATCCATGCAAGAGAATCAGTAAACTACCTGTTGTTTAGCAAATTCTTGACAGCAACTTTTGACTTATCCTCCATAACTCCATGATAAACAATCCCATATCCACCTTCACCAATCACATTCTCATCAGCAAATCCATTAGTAGCCACCTCAAGCTCTCTCAGAGTATACCAGTGTCCCCAACCCAAATGTGAAACCTCCGGGACCGCCATGACTGGCCCCTGATCACTAGACCGGGTCTCTCCACTCTCATGTGACGACCCTCCAACTCGCTCCGGGTATGAAATACGATGATCCTTACCAATTTCAATATGAATTCTCTTGCGTGTACCAACAGGGCTCTCCTCGTCTTGGTTGTGAACCGAGATTGGCTCCGATTCGGGCAATGCTTCCGGGTTAGGACCTTGGTTGTGGGTCTTCGAGTCCAGAGTCGGGTGGGGATGGTGGCGAGATGGGTCGATACGGATCTCCTGGATTTCCCTGGAGACATTAGGGATAGTGGCGGAATTGTTCTTGGAGGAGGAGTTGCGGGGGATGCAGCTGTTGCTCTTGCGTCTTGAGGTGAACCAGAGAGAGATGAAGAAGAGAACAAGAACTATGGCGGCTCCTACGCAGATACCGAGAACAACCCATAAGCGCAACCCGAAAATCGAGGTACGTTTAGAGAGCTCATCGTTCAAGAAAGAATAACCAGACATTGCTGTTCTCTTCTTCTTCTTCTACTACTTTGTTCTACTCGTTGTTTCTGGTCTCCGGGTGGGGAAAATCCAAATTCACCAAACCATAACAGGAATCACCCCGGATAAAAACCAGGGTATGTGAGAAAATCAGAGCAGAGTCAGTGGGGGGTTTGGA